ACGTTTGTGTGACCTGTAATGAAAGAGGCGATGGTGGTTGTAGGAGGGGGGAATCAGTGGGTTTTTTTAAATTTACTTCGAAGAAAAGGGTCGTGTCTTTAACAGTTTCTGATCACGTAGCTATGTAGTAAACAACGATTAAAACTTATCCTGTCATTTCTACAAAGAAGCCGAATACTTCTGCACAAACGTCTCAATTTCTAACTTCTTTTTCAGAACTACCTTCCTCTTTTAGAAGCTCTTAAGAGGCTGTCTCTGTAAAAACCGACCACTAATTTTACTTCGAAAATTCGATTTTTCTCATAAGCTGGGATTTCAAATCCCTTACCTAGTCAATCACAAAAATGAGTTTTATTTGATTAAAAATTCTAATTGAATTTTTCAAGGATTGATTGAAGTTCGGTCCGCTCGACACAAGTTGGGTGCCTGCCGAAATTGGAAAAATAGCACATATTGCCGGCGCTCTAAAAAATTAATATTCGCTCAAAAGTCCCAATTCTTTTTTTCAACTATAGATATATCATAGCAGTTTGTCAAGCCATGTTGCAATTATAATTCAATGTTGTTCCTTCAACGTTTAAAAAAAGATTTTCTACCCGTTAAATCGAGTTTTGAACCAAACACGAAAATAGCTCTACTATGAAGGCACGTTTTAAAAATGTGGCACTTGTTTGAAACTGCCGAACGTCATGAATAGGAAGTATAAATAGCCCTTAATTTAAAACAATAATAAGATTTGTCTGCCCGCTAGGTTTTTAAAACTAACGACCGCTTAAAGTTCAGGAAATTTTGAAAATGTTCCAGTGAGTAACTAACATACTCGCCTTCGTAAAGTGCTCCGATAAATTCAAGTAAATCTCTTTCCTGGCTCCAAGATTAAAGTCGTTGTCCTTTGTAGCGATCCTTGAAACCTAGGTAGCATTAAAACTGCCAGCTTTTCCTTCCAGCTGTAGGTTTGTATACAAGCTACACTTATACGTTCCTCATCTGTGTCGAGCGTGACGGTCACATACCTCGACGTTCTTTGTTACTGACCATTGTTTTCCTCGTAGCCGGTTTAATCATGCAGAGTACTCTTGAAGGGTTTGTACAGGAGGGAGGGGGTGACTCTATTGTTTTCCGGTATTGATTCGTGACCGACTCATCGCTGCCAGTGTGACGTCACATAGCAACTAGTGGGCGCTTCGAGTAGCCTATTCAGATTACGCCATGGAAGAAGGACAACAGAGGTTAAGAAAGACAAAATAACAGGGCTAATATTGTTTTTGTTCGCAAACTAAGTGTAGGTGTGTACAGTTTGTTGCTGCTTTTTGTCTGTGTGCAGTATCTGTTTTAGTTTTGTGCGCGCGTAATCGTATATTCTTGTTGAACATTGTTGCAGGTAAGTGACGGGACCGCCATCTTGAAAACGAGACGAGAGAAGTCAACGTAAAACGTTCGCGTTTTCTCTCTTAAATGTCTTACCAATAGTCTTGCTAATAGGAGGTTTTATGCATTGATAATATACGTTCAATCTGCGTGTCTTTCCGTGTCGATTGAACCAGCCGTTCCTCTCATCAATTCGTTTGAATGTTGGGATATTGTTTATTTCTTGATTTCCACCAAAATTTCCCTGCGATGTGATCGAGTCGACTTTTGTCTCTTTTGGAGCACCTTTGTTGGTAGTTATCTGGCCTTTGAATTCAATCAGACAGTTATTCTTATTAATTATATTTATTAATTTAAACAATGTTTATGCCTATTAGCTCTTTTTATTTATTCTGCTTTTATGCAGTGAAACCTGTATTAAGCGGATACTCTTAGGACCCTCACTAGTGTCGGCTTAATACAGGGTGTCCGCGCTAAACATGTTCTCAAATATGTATGGGTTATTGACCAAGTGTGAGGTCAAGATGGCTGGATATTGGCCAAGTTCTTTTTTGGGGTGTTTATGGACCGAGACGGAGTCCAGGTCCATAAATTCG